TTAAGAAGGGCATTCTCAGATGCATATACACACAGTAAATATGTATTCACATATATATGAATATATATTTTCAAAATCTGGCCTAAATCCAAAATCAGCACCATGCCAATAGCAAAGAGCACACCTTTTATGAAGTTTAGATATCTGCATTCCATCACACATTAAAGGAAATGGTGGCATCCTGGAGAAAGGATTCCTTCCTGGTCCAGTGCTCAGAAGGCATAAAATGGAATGAGAACACCATGATGTGCTTCAAAGTAAGGAAGTGTTCAAAGAATGATGCAGGCATGTCAAAGGGACACAGGGGCCAGTTTTCATGGACTCCCTCTGATCCAATGTGGAATAACGAAAGCATAATATCCTATTAAAAACAGGAAACAATGAAGCCATGCAAGTAAATAATATAACAGAAAGTTTAAGGAGGAACAGGATATTTACACAGTTAAAAATAACATCTTAACGAAACACTATTTCTTTGCAAATAGGGAAGGAACAAGTTTACACTGGAGGAGGTTGGTCCGTTCTGTAGTCTAACTATCAAGAGTGAGAAACATCAGTAGTTGTAACAAAACTCTGTGTGCCATCTTACAAAGACAACTTTATCATTTATTGCATTCTTCTCAAAGGCTCACTATTTTGAAAATGAAAAAAAGAAAAAGCAGAAATCAGAGAATGATAAAGAGGAGGAAGATGACAAGGGTCACAGGTCACCTGGTTGCAGTAGGACCTTTACAGATTTGCCTCTGAGGCTAGCAGAAAAAAGAAGTTTGGAGGATGCATGTAGAAACAAGCTTACAAAAGCCTAACTTGCCCATAATGGCCTCCACTACTGCCTACCCATGATCTCCACCCTGATCTCTCATGGAGCCTTACCATACTCATTTTTATCCATACTCTTAATCTTAATATGTTTCCTCAGGAGAAACATTTCAAAGTTGCCTCTATAATCCAAGTACAGGTATTACTAACCTCATCTTTTTATTTGTTTTCATTCTCAAAATCTGAACATCATTTGCTAGACAATTCATAGAATAGAAACATTTTCACTCACCAAGATAAAACACAAAACTTCACTCACACACCAATGTTCATTACCTAACAAGAAGAAAATTACCATCTCAACATTGTATGTCCTCTAATACAATTTTTTAAAAGTCAGTATTTTTTAAGTATCTTTGAGTGCTAGTGTAAAGTGTGCAATTTTTCCCCAGGAGTAGTGAACACCCTGAGATTTGAGGCTCCAATAGTTGCCTTGAGCCTATCTGCATTTTCCACTCTTTGGAGGAAGTAATTACTGAAGAAAGAGTCATGTGGTCTCTATAGTATCATTCCTGTGAATTTAGATCTTGTGTTCAAAATGTGGGCACAGAAATGTTTTCCCCATGTATGTAAACCACGAAGCAAGTACCAGACTATCACACAAAGACCCAGGATTAGTAAATTTTCATCAAGGGGGAAACATTTTTTAATTCATTAAAATTACTTGTAATTATGTAACCAGTAAAACTAAATCTCAGGACAAATAACCCAATTCATTCCTTTATTTCTTTCTTCTACTTACCTGAACCATAAGTCCCCTTAACGTTTAACTTAGTTTCAGCTGGATTTTCAGTTATTTGTGAAATGCATATGAAACTAGATATAACAATGCTTTTTTAAAAAAGAATTAAAAACAAACAGCTCTTTCAAAAAAAAAAAACATAGAATGAAAAAAAATCAAAACACACCGATAGGTAAACAAAACATCCATAAAAGTTGGCTTAATAGCAGTTGGCATAGGTAAGATAAATGAGAACCCAGCTTGCCCTGTTTTAATGTTCATTGCCATGTGGGTATTTATAAGCTGGATTGAAACAGCAGCATTTGTTGCATTAAATCACCTGTCTCTTTTCAGCTAGGAGGCAGGGTGAAGTCCTCTGGGTGGCTCAGATAGAGGAGGAAAGGAAGAAAGAATGAATTCCAAGTTTCTCCCTTTAAAATGCTCACAAATGCCCAGGCCCAAAGATCCTTTTTGTCCTTCCAAATTACCCTAGATAAAATCTCCACTTGCCTTCTCTACCTTTAACAATCCCATCCCACAAGCAATCTATCATTTATTACTACTCAGTCTGAGCTGAAACTATGCCTGGAATCCACTCCTTTCTTTTCATTTCCAAGGCCAATGCCCAAGGTCAGACCATTATCTCTTATCTCAACTACTGCAATTGTCTTTCTACCAGTCTCCGTTTTCCCTCAGTCTTTATCACCCTACCTGTCCAATCCCTCATTCACAGGGTTACTGGCTTCTAAAAGAAAATAAGCATTCTTTTATTTATCCTGGGATCTTCTTGTCCCCTCCTATATCCAGATACTAAAGTGTCTGTACATGCCACTTTCCATTTGAAAAATCTTTGATGGTGCTCCCTGGCTTCAGGAAAAGCTCAAAGAGCTTAGCCTGCCACTAGTGTAGATCAATGATATCCAAGCACTCTCTCTTTGCAGGCTGTCAGTCACTCTTCTTGTGTGTATACAGAATAGGTCTTTATAAATGCCTTGACCTCTTTCTCTCTTTCCAGGTTCAACTTAAACATTCTCTGCTATATAAAATATTCCCTAATACTATATCCAAATTATATTTCTTCATTTTCTACACCTGAATACTTTACTTGTACTTCCATGTTGAATCTTATGTGAATCTGTCACACACTTAATTTGGTGTAGACATAACCAGTTATTAAACTTTCCCAGTAGTAGGCAAAGTAAATTATACTTCACAATGAGGTTCTTACTCCCCAAACTGGTTCTTCTATTCTCTATATTTAACAAAGCAAACAGCTCTTAATATATGCCTGGTAAATATTTCTTGAATAAATAAATAATTTCCCGAGGGATTAAGTGTTTGAGGATGGGTATTGTGCTTTATTGATTTGTATTCCTTACAGTGGCTAAAAAAAACTGCATGTGAATATAATATTAGGCTTACAATCTGGTGTCCTGAGTTAATGAATCTTTGCTTAAGTAAAGGAAAATCTGTCATCTTTTTATGCCCCCAAAATATGAGTAGTTTGTATATCCCACAATTTATTCCATGAGTTAGATAAAAATTATAAACAAGATAAACACAGAAGTGGGAGTACAGACTGTAGAAGCTAATAATTCAAGCTGCCCAAATATTTTCTTAACACCTGAACTCTAATTAAATAAGCTTATAATCACAGTTAGGTCTCCATAGCTCTGTCTATCTCTTGCTTCAAGGATTATATGACAAAATGTAAAATTACTACCAATGGATGAGAAAAATGAGGAGAGAAAAGTAATGTTGACTGCAATTTTGTGGTCTGCCCCCTTCACCCCCATCTTTGATTTCAATGCTAACTCCAAAGTCCTCTTATATCTCCTTTGAGAATAAGTGAAATAGCTTACTAAGTATTATTTCCACTTTCATGTTTCTAAACCCTAACCTTCCTTTTCTAAACACTTTCCTTTAAAAGCACCAATCTTACTGTATTATAACTCTTTTAAAAAGCCCTTAGGACTTTGTATTGTAGACAAGAAAGAATACTGTTCAGTCTTAGGCTTCACACCCAATGAATCTTTGAAAATCTAGTTCCAACAGAATTGATGACACTATTGTGTCTGCAACCCAAACTTCTACCAAATAAGTTTTGATATCCTGTTACTTTTCCATGTTATTGAAATTCTGCCTGTATCTCAAGGCTTAATTTAAGAAGCTTTAATTTGTCTCTAACATTTTCTTTGCATGAAAAAAGTAAATTTTTCTTCATGTTTTCTCCCTCTGGGCTGACTTGTTTCTATTTCATATTTTAGTTATTTAACAAATCTATAAGTATCCAACTATAGCCTGTTTCACTTCATTCCATAAGGACTTCTTATGCAAATTTCCTGTCTTTCCATTATCCTGGAGTATCTAAAACATGCCATATTTACATAATATTTGAGAAAATTTTTATTGGATAAAAGCAAATTTCCAAATATAAATATATTTGAAATCAAAATAAACTTTTAAAAAAATGTGTCCAATAATCACTACTCAAAGCCCTACATGGGAATAACAAACTGTGCTGGTAAAATGTAAATATTTATGAAAGGAGATTGGTAAGTTAGTAGAAAACAGAATCAAATAAAAAGCTAAGAAAACTTATTTAAAGTAATATAGAAATATTGACTTAGTCTTGACTCCATCAATGTACCTAGTTATACCTATTACTTCAAACCACAAATTCTGAAGTCTACACATATTAAGCTCATCAATTGGAAAAAATACAGTGTCAAAATTTGCTAATAGAAGAATCACAGGAGACTGTTTCTAAGAAATCACTTAGTATATTTTTTGAAAATTAATAAAATTTGTCTATGATTTTTTTCTCCTCTTTTTTTTCCCTAAGGAAACAGCTTTAGAAGATGATTGATGCCTGCTATTATGGATCTATATTTACATTTCCTTATTTTAGAAGCTTTTCAAAAACATACTTAAAGCATTTCCAGTTATTCTAAAAGGAAAAATAAAAGGTGATTATTTATAGGCAATCATATTATGATGATAGATGCTTAGATAGGAAATGCAAACATAAATTTTAAATGCCTTTGAAAAGAGTTGAGGATAAAACCATTTACATAATTTCTTAGAAACCCTGGGTTTTTATTACTGAATTTATATATTCCCTCTGGGTGAGGAAGCAGCTACTTCAAAGATTTATTTGATTTGTAGAATGTATGATGTCTTTGTTTTCTATTCCCAATTCAGAAAGGTTTATCCTTTGCAATTCTGCCATACTTTACTGTTTTTAAATTTTGGGATGGGGTTCAGAGAAATTTCAAATTGTTTCTGTTTTCGCAAGCTAAACACATAAATGATGTCAATAATTATTTAGAGATAAATAAGTTAAGTAAATGTACTACATTATTACAAAACAGTCCATTTAGATATTGGTCATCTTGAATAATATAACTGCCATAGCACAACTCATAACTGATACCAAATGTCTAAAACTTCTACTTACCTGCCTATCCACTTCAGGAAGCAAAAGCAGTAGGTATTGCTGAAAATGCTGAGGTAAGGAAGCAAATGTATGTTTATTTATTAATGCCCTCAAGTTAGTGTTGACAAGAATAGATCCTGGGGTTTCTATGTCAATGTCCTCAGCTTTGGTCCATTTCAAGTGTCCTGTGATGAACAAGCAAGAGGTATGGATTTACTATAGATCGAGGCAAAAGCACATGCACACTCTTGTATACATATATATTGAACACATATATTCAATAATATGTAATTCTATCCCTTTGATTTTCAGAAAAGAAACCCACAGGTCTCCTTTAATTAAGTTTGTGTTTGGCCTTAGTTATTAGATAGTACTCAATATCTTCTAATTTTTTTAATTCAAACTAGCAAAAGGTATCAATAAGGCTTCGTTTTGATTATGAACTTCTAATCGATCAGAAGTTTAAAAAACACTTCGGAAATAAAACAGCAATAACTACAACTTACAGACAATCTCAGGTTCCATGACAAAAACAACAGGGTGCTGTTGATTTTATTTTCATTTCTGCTTTTCTTAGAACTGAGGATCAAAGCCCTTAAGGCCTCACATTTGTCAGGCATGTTCCTTCCCACTCAGTTCCAGTCCCAACATAGTGTTGTTTAATTTTAATAGACATCCTGCTAGCAGCAGAATTCAGTTTTTCCCAGTTTTCATGACATCACTAAATACCCAGTCATTTCAGATGTTTCCTATTCAGGGTATTTTTGAAAAAAATAATACAACTATGCTCTAAGGATATTTTCAGAATTCAAGGCATGTTGGAACTCAATAGAACATCACATGTAGATTTTACAAGTGAAAATAATGAAAAACAAGAAAATAACCCAGCATCAGACAGTTGATACATACAACAGAAGTGTGACTATTCTCCGTTACTTGACCTAAGAGAACTGCTGGACGGTGATTATAAAGTATGTTGCAAATCAGAGGTTAGAAAATTATGGCCTATGAGCTATGTCTGCTCCACTGCCGATTTATTGTTAAATAAGGTTTTGGTAGACTGGAGTTGTGCCCAGTTGTTTATACTGTCTAGCTCTTCTTTTGCAGTACAATGCACAATTGCAGAATTGTGACAGAAATTGAATAGATTGCAAAAACATATAATATTTAATGTCTAGTCCTATACAGATAAAGTTTGCTGAACTTTAAAGTACCTGAACTTAGAAGAAAAATTGAGAAAAAATAAGACAAGACATTGTGAGAAAAGAATGGTCAAATTTTTGACACTACCAGATAGGATAGCTAGAAATGAACGTTTCTGTTTTAATTTAAAAAAAAAATAGAGTTAAAAGACACAGGGAAGGAAGAAATGATGGAACGATTATGACACAGAGTTGATAAAAATATCTAGAATATAATATAAAGAATAGGATAGAAATGCAGGGATTGTAACCAGCAGTCAGAATGGATATCCACAGGAGTTTAAGAAAGACGAAAAAGAGGAGGGAAGAGGGGCAAACCTGAATATTATTGGCTGACATTTTTTGAAATAAATTTTATTATCTTTAAGTAGTTGAACAAAGGTGAAGCCATTTCACAAGGCAGTTGAGGAATACCGTGTATTTTGATCAATTTCACCCCTTTCGGCATTCTCATCCAAACCCTCCCAAATCACTCCTTCCCTCTCTTGTCTGTCTAATTTTTAGGTTATGTGTTGATTTTTGGCCACTTAACAGTTTGTGTATACAAGGCATCTTAATCTTAATCTTCACCCGGCTTTGCACTACTTCTTCTCCACTCTTCTCAATGGATTCTTGTCTGCATCCTACCACCTTTGCTCTTTCTTCTTTGCTCTTCCTTACATGTTCCCAAATAATAGACTACACCAAACCTCAAGAAAGTAAAATACCCATTCCTCCATCCTGATGTATTAACATCTCTAAGTGTTAAAAATCGAAAGAATATCTTAGAATTATTTTGCATACAACATCTTCAGAAATTACAATTAGGACAGCAACTTTTTCAAATGAGAGATGACAGCAGAAGGTCTTCAAAGGGCCCCGAGAAAATAAAATGAGTGTAAATTTATAATGGGATTGAAAACTATGATTCTCACAGTGGCAATGATACAAAAACATTTAAACATCCAAAATCATTTCAGTCTCCAAAACTGAAAGTCTATTCTTGAGAACCTTGCTAAAATAACTACTAGCAGATCTTCTTAACCAATGGAGAAATTTCCTCAGAGAGGGAATTACAGGGTTATAGAAATAATGAAAACCTAAAAGATGAATAGATATGAGCTGGTCCAAACAAAAATGTTAACAGTAAAAATAATCCCCATGCATGACTAAGGAGAAGTTAAAGTGAAAACCAAATGTTTAACAATCATAAAGTGGGAAAATGTGATTGAAATGAGACCAACATAAAATCCCAATATTTAAGAGACACTGGTAGGTTTCTACTTTGTTAAGATTCTATAGGTAGACTTGGAAAAATAGAAAAGGAATTATGATGTCCAGATAAATGGACTGAAGGAAAATCTAGTAACACAGATGACAGAAATAAAAGGAAAAAAACATAATCACAATAAATGTAGGTGGGGTTTTAAAATAGAATTAAAAATTTAAAAATCTAGTTATATGTGCTTTCAAGAGATATACTTAAAAATTACTTGGAAATAAAAATTAAAAGGGAAACTAAGAAACACCCACCAGAGAGTAGAAACAACACAAAGCAATTTCAAAAGACTAGTATCAGACAAAATAAAAGAGAGGGTAAGCTTGAACAGAGTACATTATAAGCATCTGTGAAAATGTAACAATGAGATCCCTGTCTATATATACGCTTCACTAATACACAGAATAAGAATGAGCATTCCATATATGTATGAGAAATAATCACTGGAAATACAGCTTTTACCATGTTGACAGTACAATCTTGAAGTATAAAATTGAGAAAACCACAAAAAGAAATTGGCATCATAATGCTAGGTGAAAATCTTACATATATTACTGAAAACTAATGAGATTTTAGGATTGCCTGAGCTACACAAGGATTTTAACAGCTCAGTATTTTGATTTGAACTCAGGGACTCCTGCTTGCTCAGCTTGCTTGCCTGACTGGCACTCTACCATCTGAACCATGCCTCCAGCCCTGTTTCGTTGGTTATTTTGGTATGAAGTCCTGTTTACTTTTCTGCCCAGGCTGCATCTGAAGAGCAGTACTTGGGATATTAGAATCCTGTGTAGCTAGGAATACAGGTGTCATCCACTGGTGCCTGGTAGTGATCACTCTTGATTCAGTGAATTCAATACAAGGTACAGCTCTGTGGCATTAGATAAAAAACAAACTTTTTGTCCTTATTTGTGGGATACTAAGGAAAATTTCACAACTGACTGGTGAATCTAAACAAAGAAAAATTCATCTCTCTGTTGACAAGAGAAAGTCTGGTATCCTACCACAGAAAACAGTAGCTCTTCAATGCTTCACACATCTATAATATATTTAGAAATTCACAATATTTGTAAGCTGGTTGCTGGTGGCTCATTACCCTAATTACTTGGGTCTGGGGAGAGAGGCTGAGATGGAGACGGATCATGGTTTAAGGCCAGACTGGGCAGAAAAGTTCATGAGAGCCCTTCTGAACAGAGATCAGTATGGGGTGATGCATACCTGCTATCCTGCCTATGACAGAAGCTAAATAGTGAGAGACTTGCCAGGTATATACAGAGTATACCAAGAGAAGAAAAAGGCTGAAGGTGGTGGCACTCAGCAATAGACCGCTGTCTATCTATCATGAGGCCCTGAGTACAAACCCTAGCACCATGTTTGCAATTACTTCATAAGTTGGGGGTGGGGTGGAGAATGTAATGTAAACGATAATGCCAAAACTAGTGAAATGTTGTTCAACCAGGTTTTAAAGTATATTGTATAGATAAGAGTAGAAAAAATGATTAAAAATTACAAAGGTTAACTCTTCAGGTCATGATGTTAATCAATTAGTCAAAGCATAAAACTAAGAAAGAGGGAAAATGTAAGAATATATATTTACTCAAAACTAGAGAATTAAGATTACCAACGATAAAAGAATTGAATTTAACAACTGAACTTATAGAGTTCAATTTTAATTCTAAAAATTAAACTAACAGAGTAGACATTCTTTGTAAGAGATGGAGCAAATATTAAATAAGCATACTTTATAATCTACTTTTAAATCTGTATACTCTTGTAGATTTTAAAGAAAAGAATATGTTATTGAATTTCACCAATTTGAATCCAAAAAGTTTATTATTTTCCAAATTTAACTTAAAAATTGAGAACATTAGACAGATGCTAGTGGCTTATGTCTTTACTCCTGCTTATTCAAAAGACTGCAACCCAGACAAGGCAAATTTGTGTAAATTTTTAAAACAGAAATCAGCCAGGCACTGGTGGCTTGCTTGTAATCTTAGCTACTCAGAAGGCTGAGATCAGAGGTCTATGGTTCAAAGCCAGCCCAGGCAGGAAAGTCCATGAGACTCCTATCTCCAATTAACCACAAGAAAATCGAAAGTGGTGCTGTGGGTCAAAGTGGTAGAGTGCTGGCTTTGAGCAAAAGAGCTCAGGGACAATGTTCAGGCCCAGAGTTCAAGCCCAATGACCACCACCACCATCAACAGCAACAACAAAAGAAAGAAAGAACAACAAATGAAAGAAAGAAAGAAAGAGAAATAAATAAATAGGTGGGTAATTCTACTACAAATACAGATTAAGTTATAAGTAGCTCTAAAGATGAACTTAATGCTATTGAAGGACTTTCTTGACCTTTTATCTGGAAGTCTCTCAATATTTTATTTTGTAGAGTGTCCAGAGAAGTTGTTAGGAAGAAATCTTAAGTAAGTTTATGCCCATGTAAGGACAGTATTAGAAAAATCTATTTTTCAATTTTATTTATAAACACAAAGGTAAACCAACTTAAGTCAATTTGATAAGCATATTAGTGCCTGTTAATTCAATTAGTATTTTTCTGTATGATAGAAGTACTTCATACATACACACAAGCAAAAAACAAACAAAAAAATCCCTGAACCTCACTTGAAGAAAAAGGGAAAGAATTAGGAAGCAATTTTTTTTTCTCAGTATGCGATACTATGGCAAAACCTACAGAAATATTTGCAAAAAATGTAAATTATTGAAAATATAT